CTGCCATATTATTATAGAGCAATTGTTGCCATTATCTATTCGTAATTTATTGCCAACCCATGTGACTGTAGTTTTGGTGGAATTTTGCTCATGTTTTAGAGTTCTTTGTGATAAATGCTTGAACATTTCAGACCTTGATAAGCTCCAAGATCGGATTGTTGTTACACTTTGTCACCTAGAAATGTTATTCCCTCCATCATTCTTCACAGTTATGATTCATTTAACTGTCCATCTAATAGATGAAGCAAAGCTGGGAGGACCTGTGCATTATCGATATATGTATCCTGTGGAAAGGTAAACAAAAAATACTTTTTGAGGTATTTTTTCAAATAAGTTCCACTTCTTTAGCCTAATTATATTATCCATTCTTTTTTTTATAGGGAATTAGGTCATTTAAAGTCTTTTGTACGAAATAAGGCACAACCAGAAGGTTCTATAGCTGAGGGTTACTTAGCTGAAGAGTTTCTTGCTTTTTGTTCACGATACATAGAAGATATAGAGACAAGGTTTAATAGGCCTAGACGTGTTTGTGATGACCCAAATGAGAATGAGACACATGAAATGTCCTCTATCTTCCCTCGAATGGGTAAACCAGTAGGAGCTTCCTCAATGTTCACTTTAACTCAAATGGAAAAATTACAAGCTCATAGATATGTGCTTTTAAATTATGCAATTGTCATGCCTTTTGTGGAGTAAGTAAATGAGGTTAACATTAAATTAATTTTCATTATATTATTTGTAATATTCTAGCCATGCTCATTAATTATAAGCATATTTGTTTATGTAGTGAATTTAGACAATTCATAAAGAGGAGTACAAGGGGAAGAAGACCTTCAAATACAGATATAGAAAAAAGAGTCAATAGGGAGTTTGTTGATTGGTTTCGAAAAAGGGTGCGTAGTAAATAAGTAGTTTTCTTTCTACTTTTCATATTTACTATCAAATCGAAAACATTATTACTTCCTTTTCTTTCTAGATTATGAATCCAGATTCAATAAACACAATGTCTGCTGATATAAAGTTTCTAGCACGAGGCCCATTAGATAATGCAAGAAGATTTACCGGTTACAATATCAACGGGTTCAAATTTCGAACTTTAGCTCGGGAAGAAGGGTTGAAAACACAAGTGGAGTTTTCTTAACCTCTAACACATCTTGTGTTGCAAGTAGTGTTGATAGAAACTTAAGGCAAGCAGACTTACCATATTATGGGAAATTAGAAGACATCATTGAGATTAACTATTATGGTCGATTCAAGGTTATTCTTCTAAAATGTAAATGGGCTAATGCTACTCATCATAGAGGATATAAGAAGGATGACTGGAATTTCAATTGTGTTAATTTTAATAGATTGATTCATGTTGGTGATCGTGAAGAACATGAACCCTATATTGAAGCATCTCAAGCACAAATGGTGTATTATGTTGATGATGTGGTTAATGAAGGATGGAGTGTTGCTGTACATCTAAAGCCAAGAGACTTATATGTAATGGGAGAAGATGTAAAAGATGAAATATATGAGAATGAGCCATACCAACAAAAAGAGCTTGACCAATTTTTTGGCCTTAATGATGAATTTTTACAATTGGCTACAAACCACTTAGATGATGATATAATTGAGACAAATATTGCTACAAACTTAGCAGCACACATTTGAATTAAAAGCAAGGTTAATATGGTGCTTTATTTAATGGTAATGGTTTCATATTTTATAATTGAAAATGTTGTTTCATTATTATAACATGTTTAAGTTACATTTACAAATTTGTTATATATCTTACCTCTTATCTTTTTTTTTTATCATATAACATGCAGCCATGCCAAAGGTTAAACGCTTTCAGAATCCACTAAAGTCAGCACCTCAACCACAACGAGATATTAATCCTGTAACACAAGCTCAAGCACATTCTTCACCAACAATAAATCTTAGAGAACCTTCACCATCTGTTGAAGTCCCATCAAATGTTTCACCACCAATAGATTCCTCACCAACAAATGAGGTTTCACAAGAAGAAACCCCACAAGAAGAGTTCCCACAACAAGCTCCAACATCTAGACGTACTGATCGTGAGTCTTCACAACATTGGAATGTTGATGCCATAGGTATATACATTACATATATTTGTAATTGATTGATATTTTGTTTTTAATTATTTTCTTGTGATTAAGTCAATTGGTTTTTTGTTAAAGACTCAGAAGGAGTTATAAAGAAGATTAAGATAAAGGTTAGGGAAGTTAATAACTTACCTAGTGGGGAACGCATCGTTGTGGAGTTTGATGACCAAGGCCAAGCATTTGGACAAGCACAAGGCCTACTTGCTGGATTTTGTGGAATCTTAGCAACTGATTGTAACTTGTTTCCAATCAATTTTGAAAGGTGGTCAGGGAAAACAGGCATGCCTAAATGTTACTTTGATGATTGTTATTTAACAATCTTAAAGGTATGTAATATTATGCATATATTACTTTTTATTGCTACTTATTTTACTGATACATGTAAATGACATAAAAACTGACTATTTTATTTTTAAGCAAAAATATTGTTTTAGGACCATTGAAGCTACTGCAATACAATATTGTAAGCTTAGTATTGGAAAGAAGTGGGCTGCCTTCAGGCAAAGTTTATGGAATGAGTTCAATGATCCTACCAAGACTAGAGATGAAATTATAAGTAATGTGCCAGTAGGTATAGATAAGGATCAATGGGCTCATTTTGTTAATTATCGTATGAAACCATCGACATTGGTAAGAGTTTGATACTTTTCTTGGTGTTTTGTTAATATCCCTAAATATTTTATCCTTACCATGAGATTAACATTGTTCATAGGAGCTTTGTAGAAGGAATAAAGAAATTTGAGGCAAGCAAAAAATTCCACATACAGGTGGTTCTAAGTCCAATGCAAGAAGAAGGCATGAGATGGTAATCACACTAAAGCTGAAACTTTTTACTACTTTACAAAATTAAATACCCATTTTTACCTTTTCTTTTCCCATATTAGTTTTTGGAAACTGGTCAAAATCCTAGTCATGGAAAACTATTTATTGAAACTCATAAGAGAAAGGATGGATCTTATGTAAATGATGCAACAAAGACAATAGGGGTAAGTATAACCTTTGTTTGTTGTTTTCATAAATTTCACATTTCAATATTCTTAACTTTGTTATTGATTTGCATGCATATTAAAGGAACAAATTGAAGTTGGTCTGACCCAAAGCACTACAGATGAATCTGAAATTTCTCCTAATGATGTTGTTGGTAGAGTGTTTGGGCCAGAACACTCTAGGAGAGTGAGATGCATGGGTATGGGGGCAGCTCCTACTAATACATTCCGTAATACTAGACTTCGAATTAGTGATTTGAGCCTCTCTTCATCCAATATTGCTTCATCATCATCATGTTCTAACCAGTGCAAACAAAAGTTCAATCTTTTGGAATCCCAACTACAAGGAACATTGAATGCCCTTAAGGCCTATACAATAATGAAGGAAGGAAAAATTCCTGATGAATTGGCTAGTTTCTTTCATTCACAGGTAAGTATTATGACTTATTATTTGGTGATTGAATGTAACATTGGATGTGATTGCATAGGCTTAGGTTACTTGTTTTTTCTTTCTCTTATTTGTTGCTTCAACAAGTGACAATTTTATTCATTTTATTTCTTAAGATTTTTATTAGTTTGATCTTGGAGATTGCACTTGAATTATGGAATTATATATTAGGACCAAATTACACTTCCTTTACCTCTAAATTGTACTGATACTAATTTATTTTTCTTATTTCAGCCTAGTGACGTTGGAAGTGAACCTGAATCGCCGTTAGATGCTAGAGGATCATCTAGGGGTAGCAACTTGAATAGCCAGTCTAATATTTAGACCTAGTTTCTTATATTGTAGACTGCTTTAGGTTATCATGGTTTTTGAATTTATAGTGTTGTAAAAACGTAGTTTCTTTTGGTTATATATTGTGGTGTTGTATTTGCTGTCAACTTGGACTTATGAATTAGCTTTGATTGTTGTTACTCTTTTGTAGTTATGTAACTTTCCTTACTATCAATCCATTGTCCATTACTATTATGGATGGAGCAAAAATTTGAATTTAAATTGTCTACTCAATGTGATCTTGTTGCCACAGATATCAAATGTTTGATTCCCATTATTTTTTATGTTGTTATTGTCTTTTTTATTTGAATCTTGTTGTCTATATTATGGGTTTCTATTGATAGTTTGTATTCCCATTAATTTTTTTTCTTATAAAAAACTTAATATTATCCAATGGAATTTGGATTATGTTATGAGTACCTCCTTATTTTTTTGTATACAGGTTAAATATAATTTAGATTAAAAAAATAAAATATATTGTGAAATAAATAAAACATCATTCAGATTGAGGAGGTCAAAAACCCCACTAAACAATGGAATTTGGATTATGTTATAAGTACCTCCTTATTATTTTGTATACAGGTTAAATGTAATTTAGATTAAAAAAAATAAAATATATTGTGAAATTAAAAAAAATCATTCAAATTGAGGAGGTCAAAAACCCCTGCTAAACAAAAAGCCGCAGAATGAAAAAGGTAGCGGAGGTTGGTAAAAATCGCCGCATAATGCTAGTGGCGAACGTAACTGCAGCGTTTTTGTAAAATGCCATTAATTATTTTGAGGGGGGCGAAAACCGCCGCAAAATGAAAAAAAAAACTGCCGCAAAATGACGAATTTTTTGTAGTGGTTGTTTCCCTTGGATAGGTGTATTTTCTCGTATCCTCACCCTTTAGAGCAGTTGAGTATTGGTTGTGTACTCTATTGGATAACAAGGTTGACAAACTGTACACCTGATCTTCAATCTTCGAGTAGAAGCTCCATTGTTTCTCTTGTGATAATGTGTTCCTTTATTTGTAGCTTGTTTCACTCTAAGGTCAGGTAACCCTCTTCAATCTTGTACTCGTTTTTGGGATCTAGAAACCCTTTTACTCTAAGGTCAGGTAACCCTCTTTGTACTAGTTTTGGGGATCTAGCAACCCTTTTACTCTAAGGTCAAGTAACCCTCTTTGTACTAGTTTTGGGGATCTAGCAACCCTTTCACTCTAAGGTCAGGTAACCCTCTTTGTTGTAGTTATTTCGTAGCTCAGCCTCTCCAGGCTAGATTGATATTTCAAGGCTTCAGCCGACCCACTTTAAGGTCAGGTAACCTTCTTTGTTGTTGAAATAGTTTCGCAGCTCAACCTCTCCAAGCTGGACTGATATCTTAAGGCTTCAGCCGGCCCACTGCTAAGGTTAGGTAACCCTCTTTGTTGTTCAAGTAGTTTCGTAGCTCATCCTCTCCAAGCTGGACTAATATTTTAAGGCTTCAGCCGGCCCACTACTAAGGTCAGGTAACCCTCTTTGTTGTTCAAGTAATTTCGTAGCTCAACCTCTCCAAGCTGGACTGATATTTTAAGGCTTCAACCGGCCCACTTCTAAGGTCAGGTAACCCTTTTTGTTGTTCAGGTATTTTCGTAGCTTAGTCCCTCCAAGTTGGACTGATATTTTAAGGCTTCAGCCGGCCCACTACTAAGGTTAGGTAACCCTCTTTTAGGGATGGCAAATATACCCGTACCCGCAGGTAATACCCGAACCCTTCCCGACTTTGACAGGGAATACCCGGTTTGACTGGGTACGGGTACAGCTACGGGAAAAACCTGATATATTACATCAGGTACGGGTACGGGTATGAACTTACCCGCCCAATACTTGAACCCGTACTCGTCCCCGTTCCCATTTTTAATTTAATACCCACTTTTAATTTAATTATATTAAAGAATTTTAATATTTTTTATGTGTGATTATTTATTATAATGTGAGATAGAGAAATAACCTAATTATAATTATAATATAATAAAAAATAATTTAAAAATATCATATTTTTTATAAATAAAAAAGAAATATATAAAAAAAATTGACGGGTACGAGTACGGGTATACCCGATACCCGCAGGGACGGGGATGGGGATGAAAATCATATACTTGACAGGTACGGGTACAGGGATAGGGATGGATTTGACTAGCGGGGACGGGGACGGTTATCATGAAACCCGTACCCGACCCACCCCATTGCCATCCTTACCCTCTTTGTTGTTGAAGTAGTTTCGTAGCTCAGCCTCTCCAAGCTGGACTGATATTTAGGCTTCAGCCGACCCACTACTAAGGTTAGGTAACCCTCGTTGTTGTTGAAGTAGTTTTGTAGCTCAGCCTCTCTAGGCTGGACTGATATTTCAACGCTTCAGTCGGCCCACTTTAAGGTCAGGTAATCCTCTTTGTTTTTGAAGTAGTTTCGTAGCTCAACCTTGTCGCAACCCGAAAATTTCTGATCTCGCGACCTATGGTTTAGACATCCTTTTAAAAGTCTCATCAATTAAGGAATGCCCGGACACCAGACTAATCCTTAATTAATAGTTTTGAAAAAATGAGTTCATGGAGTCGCCTCCAATGTTTTACTCAAAACATTGGAAAAAGAAAAGGTTTTTAAAAATCTAATAATGATGGCCTTGATAACCAGAATTGGGTTCGGGGGTCGGTTACGTGTAGGGAAGGTATTAAGCACCCCTACAACGCCCTTAATCGGTACCCTATGATGAAGTTAGCATTATAAATGATAATAATAGAAATATTAAATCCCCTTTTATTAATAATTATTTACATGCTTGAAATTTAAATTATACAATTAACCCTAAAATGTCTACATGATTATTTTTAATATAACAATATTTATTATAGATAAGAAATAAAAAAGAGAGAAATAGATTAACTAAAATACCTCTTGAATGAGCTCTATTGAATCTTCAAAACCGGAAGATTTTAGGTGCTTTGTGGCAACCTTTCACACTACAATGCCTCACAAAATCTCAAGAAATACAAAAGAGAGAGAGTGAGAGAAAAAGAGAGAAATTTCAAGCTCTAAGGAGTCTGGACAAAATTTTGGAGCCTTGAGAATGGTGCCCAAGCTGTCTATTTATACGCATCAGAAAGGGTGCCAGAACGGCCCGTTCCAAATTCAGAACAACTCGTTCTGGATTTGAACGTTATGTGTAAAATACTTACCCTAGAACAGCCCGTTTCGGAGTGCTAGAACGGCCCGTTCCAAACTAATTTTTTAGGCTTTTTTAGCAGTTTGGAATGGCCCGTTCTGGCTTTGGAACGGCCCGTTCTATTTTTGGAACGGCCCGTTCCAGACTAGGTTTTTAGGCCTTTTTTATGGCTTGGAACGGCCCGTTCCGATTTTGGAACAGTTGGTTCCGACCTAGGTTTTTAGGCCTTTTTTGTGGCTTGGACTGGCCCAATCTGATTTTGGAACAGCCCGTTCCAGGCCACTAAAACCAATTTATTTGGGCTTTAGGCCTTCTGATGTTCTATCATGTTGTTTGCATGCTTCGGGAGCTCCTTCCCTTCATAACAGAGGTCCATTTCCTTGTTTGTATGCCCCGAACGAAATTGGGTGTCTACAGCTACCCCTCTTTACTTGTCCTTTGGAATAGTAATGTGTTACTTTTCCAAAGGCAAGTAAAGACGTAGACATTTTGTTCGGGTCTTATCTTTATCTCTTTGGTGCTTCTACGTTGTTTCCCTTGGATAGGTGTATTTGCTCGTATCCTCAGCCTTTAGAGCAGTTGAGCATTGGTTGCGTACTCTATTAGGTAACAAGGTTGACAAATTGTACACCTGATCTTCAGTCTTCGAGTAGAAGCTTCATTGTTTCTCTTGTGATAGTGAGGTGAAAACTCAGATCTTCACTCTTGTTTTGACAATAAATGCCTTCACGTTGTCTTCTTCGGGTAGACAGTGTTCCCTATATCCTTGCCCCTTGGAGCAACTGAGTGTTGGGTTGTATGCTCTGTTGGGTTTCAAGAATGGTAAACCAAAACATCTAGGCTTCAAGATCCATGTGAATGCCCCATGTCGCTTGTTGTGTCTGAATCTTCTCCTTTACTTCAATAATGTAGATGCCCCCACACCAATTCCTTCGGGTAGATGGTGTTTACCTATATCCTTGTCCCTAAGAGCAGCTAAGTGTTGGTTTATATGCTCTGTCGGGTGATAAGGATGGTAAACTTGTACCATCTAGGCTTCTGGCTTTGATGTCGATGCATCCTACTACTTCTGCTTGCTTCATGATAGTGTGTTCCTTTATTTGTAGCTTGTTAAAGAGGGAGTATATTCTGAGCTCAGCCTCTCCATGCTGGACTGATATTTAGGGCTTTAGCCGGCCAAATGCTAGTTTTGGGGTCTAGCAACCCTTACCGATCTTGTACTAGTTTTGGGGATCTAGCATCCCTTACCAATCTTGTACTAGTTTTAGGGATATAGAAACTCTTACCGATCTTGTACTAGTTTTGGGGATCTAGCATCCCTTACCAATCTTGTACTAGTTTTAGGGATATAGAAACTCTTACCGATCTTGTACTAGTTTTGGGGATCTAGCAACCCTTATCGATCTTGTACTAGTTTTGAGGATCTAGCAACCTTTACCGATCTTGT